CCCCCCCCCCCCCCCGGCTCTCACAAACCATCGCTTTTTACTGCGCGTGCGCTATATGGGACACTATCAACGAAATATCTCGACGCGTATGGTCTCCTTTTGACCACGGATGTTCGTTGCTCTATCGTAGGATCAGGGCAGATGATGTAGAGGTACGCATTCAGCATGTTTTTGCATTTGCTGGCAGCAACATCAACGACGACACCTTGGAGCTCAAACCCGTGTGCAGACCATCCATGAATATCATGATCTCGTCGGACAGATCGGGGTAACCAGTGTGCTTCGTGGAAGCTTTAGAACCATGATCGCAAGTCCAGTGCATTTTCAGGGACCCCTTGGGGGGTGGCAACGGTTCTAGCTCGACATTGCGTTGAGTTCAGCGTTGTGCCGAGTCTCAACTCGCCTGCTTTATATCCTCCGGCTTTATCTCGAGACGTAGCTGTTACGCCGCCCGCCGCTTCGCCGCTATCCAGGACAAGCTATTCTCGTTGCGTGACCTTGGAAGTGCCGGTGGGACGTTCGTTCGCCTGGAGTCAGGGGTGTCCACTCTGCTTTATCCCGGCATGATCATAATGCTGGGAAGGCACCAAGTACGTCACCAGCACAGCGTAAGACCGTATCACCCAGCTTGGAATTATCCTCTTTTGCTGAGGTCGCCTATGTTCCTCCCCTCTGTTTTTTGTTACGTTGTTAGATTTGTGCGTACTGCATGACGTAGTCCCGAGGTCGGAGAAGAAAACGTACTGCGGGTGGGAGCGCGAAGTTCCATTGTTGTTCGGCGACAACAACCTCGCCTACCCCAACTCGTCTTGCCTCGCCCCCCCCCGCCCTCCTTATTCCCAACGCCCACCACCCGAATCCTATCGAACACCAGCTTGAGGTGATAGACGTGTCCTCTACCGATGCTGAAGCAAAGGCGGTTGAAGGTGATCGTATTCCCTTCGCTGTGGGGGACAAAGGCAGCAACGCCACGTCGCCTTCCAGCCCCTCAGCGTCGGGGGATAGCTCGTCGACGGCAGCGCGCGGCAGAGGCATGGCCTGCAGTATTGTTGGTGGGAGCGCCGCAATCGTCAATAAAGGATCCACGACGGACGGCGGGGAGCGAGAACTCGTGCACCCGATCAGAGCACAGCCGGCCAAGTCTTCGTCCTCGAAGGTGGAGCGGGGGCTGTAGGTGTTGAGGATCGGGGGGGCGATGAACGGAGCGGGCGGAAGTTTGTCTAGACGGAGTGCCGCCGCCGGTGGGGTGCTGTTACATCAAGCGGAGCACCGTGGTGGGCAGGATAGCAGTCGGTCGCCCCTGCAGCACGAAAATACAGCCGGCGGGGAGCGGGCGTGCTTGACACTCCCGTTCAGGATAGGGCCTGAAGTTTTGTAGGGAGCAGGTGTCGCTGGTAGCAGTCGTGGCTTTTTGCCATTGGTGCTCGACACTCTGCTGTTATGGTCCCGTCCGTATCGATGGTGCGGTGTCTGTGAAGTCCATGTGGTTGTTGCTTGTGGATTCGATGCTCCGCTCATGTCCGTTTCTTGCACGCTTTGTGCTTGCCCTTAGCAGCACGAAGAAGGAGAAGGAGGCATTTCGGACGACGAGAAGGAGCTAGAGGCCGGAGTCAAGCTGGGCAGGGGGAACCCGAGAGTCTGCCTAGAATGCTTCGCACCAGAAGGGACCCCTATACAGGCAAGCAAGCACGTATCGCCACCGTCCCCACGAGTGTGGGTGTGGGCGCTGTTTCGAGGGCCGGCAACCCCTCGCCGTTTCTCTTGGAAACACGCGGCGGCGTTTCGAGATTTCCGTCACTCTGTTCTGCTAATCTGTGACTGTCAAGCTTTGACTTGTTGAGGGACGGGATCAGATCACCGTTTGTGTTCGACACTCTGATCGGTATTGCTTTTCTGATTTTCTCTATACAAGAGTTTACCTGTCTCCGGCTGAACGGCCAGCGCACATGTCTGAACTACGAACACAACGAAGGAAACCCTAAGATCTCGCCCTCACCCCCGTTGTGGATTGAACCACGCGCACTCATGCAGGGAAAACGTTTCTTCGTGGGCAGAGAAGGGGCCACTCTCGGGTGGAAGAACACCAACACGATCGCCTTCTCCTACGAGTTGGGCGGAACTGTGATCGGGATAGATAATTTCATCTCGGGAGTACACGCCAGGATCGTGTATGATGGGGGAAGCGGCTTCTTCCACGTCATGGACGGCAGCTCTTTCAAGGTTTGATTCGCTGTGTGTGCAGAACGTCCTCCCGCGATGTGTCTGTGTCTGGTCCACCCGATTACGGAGCAAGGATGTATTTAGTGGCCGTCCGCAGCGATGTGCAAATCGTACTCAGATTGGAACGAGGGGGTGAAGTTTGCGGATAGAGACTGATTTCCTGACATGGTATCCGCGACTTCGGCCCACTGAAACGAGTTCCCCGTCCCTAACGTTCTTAATGATATGTCTGGCCCCTGTCACGTTGCCCCCCTTGAAGTCGTCTAAGAACGGGACATGGGTCCGGCTCAGCGGGAAGCACACCGAGAGCAGGCCGTACCCCCTGTCCCACGGTACAGAGATCCTGATCGGGACGGTGAGGGGCGGGAAGGGTGGGAGCATGCGTGAATCGCTCGGTGCTGGACTAGCGTAGGCACGGTCCGAAGGGCAACTTTGTATGGGGTGACCGAGTTGGGGGGCAGGTAGCTGCACGCGTCGGCTCCCGAAAAAAATATCGTTTCTTTAGAGTTGTGTCCTGAGGCGCGGCGGTTTGCTAGTCGGTACGATAGGAAGAGAAAAGCGTGGAACCCGAGAGCTGCCGCTAAATGCCAAAGCCAGTCAAGCGTGCCACCTACTGTATTGCAGGGTTGGACTAAAGGTCAAACGGTCTGACGAGCGATTAACATGATGTTAATTGGTGCCACTTTTCCCCGCATGCTGACCTACTTTCGTAATTTTTTTCGTGTTGTCATCGCTGCTCCCCTGCCAACGCACAACGATTGGAACTGTAGGTTCCGTTCTCGGTGACGCTGGAGACTATGGCGGTTGAAAAAGAGTTAACCGCCCAAAGCCGAGGTTACGTCATGTCGTGAGGGATCAGGACCATCAATCCTCGCACCCGTGGGGAGCGAACCCCGACGGCAATCGTCACGACGAGAGGGGGGAGATGGGCGCTACGTTAGGGGTACGGACCTGCTGAACAATATTTTGTTTTCCTGACGTGCTGCTTCAAGAGAGGGTACGGGGTAGCTGGCCAAGCCAAGAGAGGTTGGGAGCTTCTGAGAATCGAGGTTGGTATGTGGGTGCTCTTCTCATCTATTCTGGTGCAGGTCTGCACACCTTTCGATATATATTTTTCTGACGTACCAGCCGGGATTACACAGGAGGAGGTCATACAGGAGCTCTTTATTTTGGTATTCTTGTTTTCTGCCCTACCTTTCCTTCTGCGGTGCTTGCCTTAGGTTTATCGCGAGAAGGGTTCAATCGCCCCTTTAACTCGTTGATCGTGAAGCCGAAGTGTGCGACGGCGGTGTGTGTTGTATATATATATTTTTTTTTTCTATTGTATTTTCTTCCTTGCAGCGCATTCAGAATGTAAGTAATTTATTGGATTTGGTGAGATCTCCTCATGGCTGCCGGTGGTCCCGCCCAAATGTCGTGTTTATCGCAGTTGTTTTGACCATCGCTCGGATTGTATTTAGACTCACCCCAAGCTCACGTTGAATTTACTATGAACACGTTCTGGAGCATGCCCACAAAGCAGCCTCAAGGTCCGGCGACGATGGGGCGTCGGAAGCACCATATCCCGCTCGCTCACTCTTGGCCCCCACTACCCGAGAGCCGATGTAGCAATCAGTAACTTTAATTGTCTTTCAAACTCCGATGAGCATGATCTCGTCCACCGTCGTTCCCGCGAGAGATTGGCTCAGCGAGCCTCTACTTGAAAGGGGTGCATCGTAAACGTGTGGGGCCGCTCTGCAGCATGCAAATGCGACTGCAGGGTGGCCGTCATACGTGAAATAGACAAGGGGAACTCCCCCCCGGCCCCCACCTGCCGACACCACGGGGAAAAGGAACCTCTACATCAGGCCCCAACGTCCCAACAAATACTATGGAGGGCGTACATGTACTTGGAAACCGCGCGGAAATAGCAGCTGTGAGGACATATATTCTGCGTCTGCTAGAACAACCACCGCCTCTCTCGAGCGTCTCAAAATCCTTCCCAAAATGGAAACCAGAAAAACAATACCCTGGGTTGCGGCAGACGCAGTACCTGTGACCAAACGTGAAGGAAAGCTCAACTCCCCGCCGCATAGAGAAAAACGCGATAGTACAAAGAAAGCGATATCCTCACGCTCCGTCGTGGTTGGAGCAAGTAAGCACAAGCTAGAGCATATGCTGCAGCAACGTGACTAGAGGGTGCACGAGAATGATCCGCGCTTGACCGGACTTCACTCGGGGGCTCGCACACGTGTTTTACGCATCTTTTCAACGGCATTCCACAACTAGTCGCCACCAAACTGGTCTCGATAAGCCACGGTAAATTTTGAGACAAACCCCTTGCTGCTGCGTGGCGCCCAATGGGTAGTGGTGTAGATGCTTTGTCAGCAGAATGAGGGACATAGCGTTTGGTAAACGTTGGAAAACGATCCCGGGCAGAGCGTCCTGTTCCGGTCGAGGACCCCGCGCTATCATGTTGGGCTGTTCGTGAAGGCACTTACAGCTCCCTTTGGTTCAAGTCGAGGAAGCATCACCACACCAGTGAACATGTCGTCGGCAATAGCGATCTCCCGCCCGCGGAGCCCGGACGTATGAGCACGAACGACCCCATCAAAAACACTGGCCATATGGAGCCCTCTACTCTGCGTGAGCGGAGAGTCCGGAGTGTGGTGGCTATGACTTGCCACCTGAGGCTAGCGAATTCCTTCGGTGCGATGTGACGAGGAATGCCCAGCGTGACCGAGTGAACTCAGTCCAGCTAGGGTGGTGCGGAGAGTGGGTGAGCCTTCGTGGACTCATTTTCCCATCCTCCTAAAGATTCATGAACTATTCGAAGCTGTACCTCCACAGCCATCTATTTACTTTCACCGGTGGCCTGGGCACCCAGCCATCACCATGAAAACGTGCTCCTTACGAGCCTGTAGCCTACCCGAGCCGGTGATCATCGGCGGAGCTTGAGAGTGGCGAGGTACGAGGGGGGGGGGGTGAGCACCGCAGAGGAAAAATACAAAATATTGCCTGATGTTCGGGGAACCGCAGTCGGAGCACCGTTCCCGCTGCCAACACAAGCCAGCGCGTGCGGCCGCCCCTGGCAGAGAGCTTACCACGAAGCACCCCGACCATAGAAGCAAGGAACCGGTATGGGGCGCGAATACGGATGTTTACGACCAGCCAGCCAGTATCAGACTGTCTGCTGAACGTATTTCTGGCGAAAATTAACCTCGTACGCGACCATGGAGCACCGAGGCGAACACCACACGCGCAAAGAATCGTCTTGGCAGGGCCAATTAAAATACCGGGTCGGGCCGCCCGAGCCACGATCCGGGTCCCACTGCCACCTGCTGCGCCAGCGGAAACCAGCACGACTTGGTGCCGGGAAGACAGATGCTGCACGCGTCCGGCACCCCACCAAGTTCTGTACGATTGCCCCGCCATCAATAGGGGGGGAAACCGAGGTGCGGGAGCGCTTTCGTAGCCGGGAGTTTGGAGACGTCGCCCGCAAACATGGCCACCCTACAGTCGTTATTCCAGAGCCGTTGAGGAGGGAGAAGAACGGCAGCTGGGGCGCCCCCGGCGCGCCCGCTGAACCAACATCGCAGATGCCATGAGGGCCATGCTGCACGGGCCCGGTGAGTCCCACAATTCTTGAAAATCGCTGGACTTCAGGCACACAATCGACTCCCCCCCCATCCGATGTAGCAGGTGTCGGACGCCCCGTTAGAAAGAGAAGCGGGAAAGGGCCAAGCGCGCTGCCATGGCCCTTCGTGGCAAGCGGCGGGAAGCGCCAACCGATGGTGCCCCCCCCAGCAAGTGCGTACTGGAGAAGTAGTGGTTGAGGTCGACGTACTTGGACAACCGTTCGCACGGAAATAACTGACCCTCTCGAAAGGGCCCCGCGCCCGTCTCCACAACCTCCCCCCCCCACAATCCAACGGAGGGGGCGTCGGACGCCCCGTTAGAAACAGAAGCGGAAAAGTGCCAAGCTCGCTTGCTGCGAGCACTGCTCGCTAGCGAGCCGCCCGTCCGTAGGCCAGGAACACTCTGTACCACGAATGGAGGAGGTAGGTGAAAGCCGTAAATCCTGAAAATCAGGAACGAAGCCGCTTTCGCTTCGCCGAGAGTATGATTTACCCGAGGGCTCAGCGAATAGCCGCGTAAATGATGCTTCTTTCGTAGTCGACACCACCGAATAGGATATTACCAAGATGGATGTGATGAATCGCGGATGCATCGTCCAGGGAGGTCATCATGCAGCAACCTTTTGAGCATGTTCGCCACACGGGACTCGGTTTTCACGGAAGAGCGATGTAAATATCGCTGGTGTGCCGGTTGAGCGGGGGTGGAAAAACATCGTTTGCCTAAAGATCGTACGTCAAGCTTGTCAACAGGAGGCGTCGCTCAGCTCGCCGGAGGCCTGAGCAGGTGAAACAACCCTGGAGAAAAGCTCTCCCTCCGGATGAGCTTCACGATCTACCGTCCACGTCCTGTCTCAGACCAGACCATGGCTGGGGCTACCAGCACGCGCCAGTACGTGCCTCCGCAGAGAGACCGGGCCGTCGACGTGCTACACGTGAATCTGCGAAGAAATTGCTCTTCCGTCCAGTGAGGTGGTACCCGTGGAAGAACTCAGCTGTTCCAGGCAGCAGTTTGAACGTTAACAACAACGTTGGATTGCAATCCCATGTGAAATCGATCGTTCACGTGACGACCTTGCTGGTTACTTTACCAATGGTCATGGTCCTGTTTCACACTGTACAACCACATCCCAAAGCTTCGGCCGTTCCACCGCTTTGTTGCTCTTCATTTAATCCGATGAAAACTTCCTGTTCTTGCATGCAGTTTTGCCTTGACAACATTAACAGGGTTTTCACCTGATTGAGAGCGGAGTATACGATTGAGAGCGGGAGCCAAAAAAAATGAAATTTCGGGTCCAGACGCCTCTTGCCATTTCTTGGGAAGTAGGGGGCGGGCTCTTCCAAGAAGCGGCGCAAATTGAAGGTCTCATCAGCAGCGTCACGAGCATATGC